CGGCCTCTGCCTCTCCGGTAGTGGTCCGGCGGTAGGTGGTGGTGGATGGCCACGAACGCTTCCACACACACATGTGTCAAAGCATCACTCCGTACGGATTGTTCCAACAAATATAATATACTAGTCAAAACATATGAAATTGAACCTCTGGAAGAAATCTGTACGCACTCTAGTATTATGCGTCTTTGGCACGAGACGTTATTCGTTAGCCGCCTCCTCTGACTTTTAACTCTTCATTACCTTTTTCTAAAAAAATCGGTCAGAAGAGCTCGGAACAGAGGAGGAAATTTAAATTTTGCACTGACTAACCAAGGACCTAATAACTAATAACATGTAACAATAATAAAACTATGATGCTTCTACTGTTTCTTACTAGTGCGTTAAACATCCACATACAGTCCAGACCGGAGTCAGTGGCAAAGTCTCTGCGTAGGAGTGGAGTTTTGATCTTTGTCATTGTTGTGCATATATAGCAGCCATATTATGGCCGATTCCGTTTCGGCTAGGATATGGCGCAACTGACGGGTGGGTGGACAAGTGACTGGCAATGTCTAACATTATCTTGGGGAAAGTGACTGCTAATGCCCTCCCGGTGGAGGTGGAAGCACATCCGGCCACTTGTTCAGTGGAGGGTCGCCGGCCATCGGTTGAGGATAGAATAAGAACATTCTCCCTTCCGGTTGTTAAATCATTGCTTAAACATTACTAGTATCTGATATCAATGTGTTTCCCCATGTGATTGGTGTCTTGATCATGTCAATCAGTCCTAATAAATTAAAATCACTGCAACTTAATGTAGTAGTCTTACAAAATGTGATTGTGTTGCAGCTTCCCAAAGGTGCTGATCGACGGGCCGTACGGCGCGCCGGCGCAGGACTACAAGCAATACGACATCGTGTTGCTCGTGGGGCTGGGCATCGGGGCCACGCCCATGATCTCCATCATCAAGGACATCATCAACAACATGAAGCGGTTCGAAGGCGACGTCGAGTCCGGCAACCCCGGGGACGCGAGCACGTCGGCCTCGTCGTTCCGGACCCGGCGCGCCTACTTCTACTGGGTGACGCGGGAGCAAGGCTCCTTCGAGTGGTTCCGCGGCGTCATGGACGAGATAGCTGAGTCGGACAAGAAGAGTGTCATCGAGCTCCATAACTACTGCACTAGTGTCTACGAGGACGGGGACGCCCGGTCCGCGCTCATCGCCATGCTCCAGTCCCTCAACCATGCCAAGAACGGCGTCGACATCGTCTCCGGCACCCGTGTCAAGACCCATTTTGCCCGACCAAACTGGCGCAACGTCTACAAGCGTATCGCCCTCAACCACCGTGAACAGCGTGTCGGTAAGTACCAAACTCTCTTTGTTTCACACGTCCATACTCAAATTGTTGGTACCATAACTAGCTAGCATGCTCGGGAAGCACCATGTTAAGTTTCATGCTTTCTCGGTAGTTTCTTCACACGTGCATGGTCGAAATTTGGTCGAAGAGACCGTGAAAGTCGATATCGATTTGTTTTATGCTTGTACGACTTCTCCTCCCGTGGGTCGCTGTGAGAGGAACTTCCTGGTGCTAGACTGAACCTAAGTGTATAGCGATGGCCTAACTTTCTATGCAAAACCCGGGTTGGACATGCATGATCCTTGTCAGGTCGAAGGTGTATACGTTCAACTTGAACTGTTATGGATAGGGAGTAGCCAAGGTTGAACCAACCAATTACTGTTGCTTGCTGATAGCTACACCCAACAGTAAATGCTGAGCACATAAAACCATTCCATTGTAGAACCAAATTTTGGGAGTGGTATGCAAAATGATAGGTATGCCACATGTTAGGTGCCAACCGATCATTGTTACTTGCTGATGGCTGCAACCACTAAAGAAATTTTGAGCAGTCTAAAGTCTGGATAGAACTATCAATTAATATATGCATGAGGTATCTCAGATTCCTCACCATAAATTAATTAACCTCAGTAGCATATACACATAAGATTCTTACAATCCATCGATGAGCTCATGCTCATCTACTCCCTGATGCACAGTAAATTCAAATTGTCCATAAAATTTTGCATGCTTGTAGTGCACTTGAGCATCTTCGGCGTAAAAAAAAATCAGTTTTTTTTTTTTTAAAAATTACTGCTCATGTCGGGTGTAGACAAGCTTGGGTGCCAAAAGTCATCCTCAAATATTCTCCCTTACCTAACTTGGTCATATTAGGCAAGGCATGATCTTAACGCCTCAACCTTTACCGCTAGGATTTAACAGCAAACATAATAGGGTTAGGTAAGAAGGCTATAGGAGTAGCCATATCGTATTTGTGTTGAGGGTGAGGAGAAAGGAGAGGATAGAGAAGAGAAATGGGTTGTAGATAGCATTTGCAGCACCACTGCAGCAGAGTCTCGAGAAACTTCGTGAGAGAATGAGATGTGCTATTAGATTGACTATAGATGACATATCAATGTGATAGAGCGAGCAGCCGGCTCTGTTATCTTTTCTTGCTCTAAGAATTACATGATCGATCAATCAACATTGTTATATATGCACACACATAGCATTACTTTTCTGAATTAGCATTTACTCTATGATTCTTGGATATCACAGGAGTATTCTACTGCGGTGCACCGGTGCTAACAAAGGAGCTGCGTGACCTTGCGCAAGATTTCTCGAGAAAGACAAACACGAAATTCGAGTTCCACAAGGAGAATTTTTAACTTCTGTAGGCAACCCAGCCACAAGAAGTTGTTCTTTTTGCGGAAAGTGTGTTAATTCAGTACATATTAAGTTCTTATTCCTATGAGTAGAGCGACTAGATCAAAGGAGATATTGAATGTGTTGATTTAGTACATAGCAAGCCTTGTACTTATGAAAAGTAGAGGGACTAGATCAAAGTAGGTATTGGTTGATTATGACAAGTTTGATCAGATTTCGTCAGCTTTTGCCTAGAAGAATAACAATACACTTAAGCAGTGTGGAAGTTGCATGCACAAAATTTGCAACTTTCTTAATCAACATCCATGATCAGTATACAGTCTGACCAATGTTTTAATCAATCTCCGTGCCTAACTGAAGTCCAGTGCGAATTTTGTGCTAATTGTTCTGCAAATCAGCGAGGGAATGTTGGAAGCAGGAATTCCTTCAGGGAGTTCTGTGCTAATTGCTCTGCAAATCAGCGAGCAAATGTTGGAAGCAGGAATCCCTTCAGAGTTCCAACGAAATGCCTGTTTTGCTCTTCCAAATTAGAGCCAAACAGAGTGTTGTGTAACTATGGACGAAGGGCGTATACATTTATGGCTACTTTCGCGTGGTTCCATCGGCCTAACAGTAACTGCAATCCTTTTTTTCGAAATAGCAATTATCCTGCATTCATTAAGAAGAAAAGAGTTGCTCGGTTAATTAAAAAAAACAACCAAAAACCAGGTTGCCCAGTTAATTATGAAGAACCGGGCAAAAACCATCACAACCGCTAAGCGGCACAAATAAGATACCCCCCACATACCACTCCAAAGAGGGTCTCGTCAAGATAGCACGCAGGCGCTATCGTCATCACTCCTCTCCTAGAGACGTCATCGCCATCCCTAAACTCGGAGCAAACGACTCCGACTTCGTCATAGACGATCGTCGACTCAACCACATTGTAGAGGCCGAGTGAAGATGAATGAAGATCCGCGCCAAACAGCCACCTGCGACCAAACAACGCAGCTCCGACTTTGACGAAGAAAGTAAAGGACAAAACTAGGCACGACTGGTGCCACAGGATATTGCCGAAAGGACCACCTGCAACCAGTCATTGTACACCACAGGACCCCACCGCAACAGCTTCGACTTCATAGCAGCAAACAAATCGAGGACATCCTGCGGACACGCCGGAGAAGAGCCGACTACCTCAACCATTGCCACGTCGCCGATAGCGCTCCCACCGTCTTTGTTGCCGCAGAAGCCTGGACCCCACAACCGCCGCAAACCACACCGCCATCGGACTAGATGCTGAGCTCTGAGACAAAGCCCTCAAGAGGGGAAAACGACACCAAGGCGCCGCCATTGTCCGATCATAAGATTAAGGGTTTCCCCTGGAGAGGCCGAGATGGCCGGATCCGTGCGTTACGGGTGTGGCAGCAAAGCAGCGATGCCTCCAGAAAGGTCAACGACAGCCACAACCGCTGCCATCGCTCGCCACGGCACAAAGCCGAGACAGGGTCTTCATCCAAGCTCCCACGCCACCTCGACCGCACATCATCCCGCACCGACACCGACACCGGCAAGCCCACCAACCACCACCACCGCACTAGCCCGTCGACGAAGGAGCTGCCGCCGTAGCCAACCGCACCTCGCGGAGAGCATCGACGACCAAACACAAGAGCCAGCTTCCAGATCCATGAAAGGCCACCAAGAGCTGAGCCACCGGACGCAGCGGACCGCCGTGCCCTGCTGAGCACCATGCCAACAATGAAAGGAGGTGCACCGCCCGAGACTGCAACCACCATGGCTGCCGCCCGCAGCCAAGCATGCATCAGATGCGCGCTCTCACGACCGTCGGAGACCAGATCGACCATATGTCAGCGTCCCAACTACAAATGCAGCTCGGGGCAACCACAACGCTGACGAGGCAGCAACAGATCAGCCACAGGCCACCAATCAGAAGAGGGAGCGCGTCATCGCCAGGCCACCTAGGATCAAGCACCCAAGCCGCCGCTTCGTGGGCCCAGAGTGGTTGAACGCTATATAAGCTGGCTCAACCAGAGAGAAGACCATCCTGGCTGGGATCACGGCAAACGGCACGGCTGGCATCTTGTTCCCCTTTCTTCTTTCTTTCTTTCCAAGCGAACTGCTCCAGAGAAGTGTATCGGTGTGCTACTCTGTAATCTCTAATCCAGTTAGTGAATAGATCGGGTTCCTAACATCGTGGTATCAGCTAGCCACCCACCACCCTTCATCACCACCGCCGCCGGTCAATTCGCCGTCCTGGAAACCCGCCGACAGAAGCAAGTGCGTGAGCAGCTAGTCGCCACCATGGATCCAGCGCTGAAGTCATATCTCGACAAGATGAGCGAAGAGGCCGCCACTCGCGCCCGCAAACAAGCAGAAGACAACAACGCCATCCTGCAGGCGCTGGCAACCCAGACGGCGCGGATCGACTCTCTGGTCAACTGGAAGCCGGAGCTGGAGGCGCGCTTCGCCCAGTTGGAGCAGTCGGTCGCGGCGCTTCAGGCCGCGTCACCTCCGCCGTCCTCATCAACCGGATCGACGCTACTGGCGACCCCTTCGCCGGTCACGCGCGAGATCCACGGGCAACCCTGCCACGGCGCGCCACTGCACCCCGGGGGATCTCCGACGGTGACCCCCGAGTCACCGGCGGCTTCCCCGGTCACGGGTACGGCCCTAATCCCGTCGCAAACCTCATCTCCCTTATCGTCTCAAGTACCTGCATCTATGGGGCAATCACCACCACCGATGGCATTCCCTGTGTTTGCCGGTGAAAATCCCCAACTATGGAAGACACTTGCTGAACAATACTTTCAGATGTTCAGTGTTCGTGACTCTTACTGGGTGCCCATGGCAAGTTTGAACTTCTCTGGCCCTGCTGCAATTTGGTTGCAGTCAATGCAACGCAAAATCGCTGGGCTGAATTGGGAGTCATTTACTGCTCTGTTGTGCACTCGTTTCGGTCGGGACAAGCATCAGCTCTTGATCCGACAGTTCTATGCTATTCGTCAGACTAATTCGGTTGCTGATTTCATTGAGAAATTTGAGACGTTGATGAATCACATGATTTCCTACTCTGAACTAACTCATCCATATTTCTTCCTTACACGATTCATTGAGGGGCTGCGACCGGATATTCGCGCGGTGGTGCTAATTCAGCGACCACCGGACTTGGATACAGCCTGTTCGCTGGCCTTGCTTCAGGAGGAAGTGGCCGACGGCGAAGCATTGCTGTACCAGCACAAGGGCAAATCGACCCCAAGCGTGCTGCGAGCATCGACATCCAGCGCACCGTCCACACCCTCCTTCTTCAGCCGCCCTCCGACACCGACACCTATGGCTGAAGATCGCCGCGACACGGATGCCGCGCGTGCTAGTGCAGATGCAAGCAAAATCAGTGCACTCCGAGCGTTCCGACGTGCTCGTGGTCTCTGCTACAAATGTGGTGAGAGGTGGGGCAAAGATCATACATGCCCTCCTACTGTCCAGATGCATGTAGTAGAGGAACTGCTGGCTCTATTTACGGTAGAAGAGGAACTCGGAGATCACCAACAGAATCCTACTGAATATGAAGAAGACAACCTCTGTACTATATCCAAGCAAGCTGTCGATGGATCCCCAGGCCCCGGCGTCTTGCAGCTGCATGCCTGGATACAGGGCAGAGAAGTATCTCTGCTGGTGGACTCCGGTAGCTCGGCCTCGTTCGTGGATCACCACATCGCTGCCAAGTTATTGGGGGTCTGCAAAATGGCCAAGACCTGCAGGGTTAAGGTTGCGGATGGAGCACTCTTGCATTGTGACAGTTTCATCCCTCATTGCTCATGGACATCGCAGGGCCATCAGTTTGTTACAGACTTCAAATTGATTTCACTGGGAGTGTATGACGCTATTCTGGGAATGGATTGGCTCCGCAAACACAGCCCCATGCATATAGACTGGGAGGCACAACACATGACAGTCACCACTCCTCGTGGTTCAGTTGATCTGCAAGCAGTGTCCAACAATCATTAGCAGTGTTCTGTGATTTCTTCCCATGGACTGATGTCAGCGTGTAAGCAGGGCTCGGTAGCTTATGTGGTTCACTTGAATGCGGTGAGCGAAACCGGTGCCCAAGAGGATGCAATACCAGTGGAAATACTCAGAGTATTGGAGCAGTACACAGATGTTTTTGAAGCTCCCAAGGGACTACCTCCGAGGCGTGCTTGCGATCATCGCATTCCACTCATGGAGGGGGCTCAGCCTGTCAACATGCGACCGTATCGTCACAAACCGGAACTCAAGAACGAAATTGAGCGTCAGGTCAAGGAACTGTTGGATGCCGGCGTCATCAGAGAAAGTACAAGCCCCTTCTCCTCACCAGCACTATTGGTTAAGAAGAAAGACGGCACATGGCGATTGTGTGTGGATTATAGATGCTTGAACGCCATGACAATTGTCAGCAAATACCCAGTGCCAATTATTGATGAGCTGCTCGACGAATTGGTAGGCGCCAAATGGTTTTCTAAGTTGGATTTGCGCGCAGGCTACCATCAAATACGTCTAGCAGAAGGCGAGGAGTACAAAACTGCATTCACCACACACTCTGGGCATTGGGAGTTCCTCGTCTTGTCATTTGGGTTAGCAGCTGGACCTCCCACCTTCCTTGGAGCCATAACCTGCACATTACAACCTCTGTTGAGAGTCTGTGTAATCCTGTTCTTCGACGACATCTTGGTTTTCAGTAAGACTCTGGAGCAGCATGTAAAGGACCTGAAGCAAGTGATGCAGTTGCTCCGTCGAGACCAGTGGCATGTGAAACAGTCCAAGTGTGCCTTTGGTCAGCGCAGGATCGCCTACCTAGGGCATGTGATCGATGAACATGGCGTCTCCACAGACCCGAGCAAGATTGAAACTATCAAGACTTGGCCTACTCCACGCAACAGCAAGGAAGTGCGAAGCTTCCTAGGATTGGCTGGTTACTACCGAAAATTTGTCAAGCATTTCGGCATCATTGCGCGACCCCTTTTCAATCTACTCAAGAAGAGCCACCCATTTGTCTGGACGGCAGAAACTGCCAAGGCATTCACACTCCTGCAGCAAAGCCTAGTATCAGCACCAGTTTTGCAGCTTCCGGACTTCACCAAACAGTTTGTCATCGACACGGACGCGTGTGATTACGGCGTGGGGGCAGTTTTGCAACAAGGTGGACATCCAATCGCTTACATGAGCAAGCCGCTCGCTCCTAAACACCGGGGTCTGTCGACATATGAAAAAGAATGTTTGGCCATCCTCATGGCAGTGGAACAATGGCGACCGTACTTACAACACGATGAATTCTTGATCCGCACGGATCAGCGCAGTTTGGTCCACCTCGACGACCAACGTCTATCTACAGTATGGCAGCAAAAGGCATTTACCAAATTGCTAGGACTACGGTACAAAATTTCCTACAGGCAGGGCAGCACTAACAATGCGGCGGATGCACTGTCTAGACGCAATCACGCGCAAGAGAGCGCTTTGGCTGTCTCAGTCTGTCAACCAGCTTGGGTAGACGAAGTCAGAGCAAGCTACAGCGATAACAATCACGCCAAGAAGCTACTTGAACAATTCTCCAAACAGAAGGATCCCAAGGGTCGTTTCTCTGTCTTAGAAGGACTGTTATACTTCAAAAACAGACTGTGGCTCGGCGGCTCGCCTGCTGTCCAACAGAAAATCCTTCGTGCCTTCCATGACAGTACGGTAGGTGGTCACTCAGGCTTCCCTGTGACCTACAGGCGTTTGAGGCGACTGTTTGCTTGGCCCAAAATGAAGGAGATCATCAGGCAATATGTTCAGAGCTGTGTGATCTGCCAACAGGCTAAACCAGAGAGGGTCAGATACCCAGGTCTGCTCGAGCCCATCCCGCTGCCTGAAGGTGCTTGGCAAGTTGTTACTATGGATTTCATCGATGGCCTTCCGCAATCGGGCAAAGCAAACTGCATTTTGGTCGTAGTGGACAAATTCACGAGATATGCTCATTTTCTGCCTCTCCAACATCCATTCACAGCAGCCAAAGTAGCCCGGTCATACCTGGATAACGTTTACAAGCTCCACGGTCTACCGAAAGCCATTATCTCAGATCGGGACCCTGTCTTCACTAGCAAGTTTTGGCGTGAACTTTTCTCCATTATCGGCTCAGAGCTCAACATGAGCACTCCGTACCACCCCCAGACAGACGGTCAATCGGAGAGGGTAAACCAATGTCTTGAGATTTACCTAAGATGTTTCATCCATGCATGCCCAAATCACTGGAGCCAATTCCTCTCTCTCGCAGAATTCTGGTACAACTCTAGTCACCATTCTGCTCTGGACATGTCACCCTTTCACGCGCTGTATGGGCATGAACCCAGGCATTGGGGGATCGAGGCAGCATCAACTTGCACAATCCCTGCCCTGAAGGACTGGTTGGAGGAAAGGAAAACAATGCAGCAGGTTCTTCGGCAACATCTGCACCGGGCTCGCCACATCATGAAGGTGCAAGCAGACAAAAAGCGCACAGACAGAGAATTCACTGTGGGGGATGCGGTCTTCGTCAAGTTACAACCATATGTGCAATCATCAGTTCACCGCCGAGCCAACCACAAGCTTGCCTTCAAGTATTTTGGCCCCTACAAGGTGATCGGCAAGGTTAACCCAGTCGCATATGAGCTGGAGCTGCCACCAGAATCCAAGATCCACCCGGTGTTCCATGTATCTCAGTTGCGGCAAGTTCTCGCACCAGGTACAGACTCCTCTGACAAATTGCCTGTACCTCGATCTGCAGAGTTGGTTCCCGTTGAGATGCTCGACAGATGCTGGCGACAGACTCCCACCGGACGACGCGAGCAGTATCTGGTGCGTTGGTCTGATTTGGAGCTCCTGGATGCTACATGGGAGGACGCACTCGCACTTAAAGCTCGCTATCCTGTCGTAGCAGCTTGGGGACAAGCATGCTCTCAAGGGGTAGGGGATGTCAGCGTCCCAACTACAAATGCAGCTCGGGGCAACCACAACGCTGACGAGGCAGCAACAGATCAGCCACAGGCCACCAATCAGAAGAGGGAGCGCGTCATCGCCAGGCCACCTAGGATCAAGCACCCAAGCCGCCGCTTCGTGGGCCCAGAGTGGTTGAACGCTATATAAGCTGGCTCAACCAGAGAGAAGACCATCCTGGCTGGGATCACGGCAAACGGCACGGCTGGCATCTTGTTCCCCTTTCTTCTTTCTTTCTTTCCAAGCGAACTGCTCCAGAGAAGTGTATCGGTGTGCTACTCTGTAATCTCTAATCCAGTTAGTGAATAGATCGGGTTCCTAACACCATACCTGCACCTTGAAGCAGCACCTCCACGCCACCACGGGCCTCTGAGCCGCGCGCCCTCGACGTGCGCCACACCAGATCCGCACGAGCTCCACCCGAGGCATCTTTGCGATGCCAGATCTGGGCAGCACAAGCACCCGTCCCTCACGGCCGAACCTCCGCCCGTGCCACGCCTGCGCTCCTCTCCCTGCAGCCGCCGGAACCCCCTGCCTTTCAAGTCGAAGTAATTAAGATACAAAAAGACTTGCACATTATGATGAGTTCACTTTGTTCACTCATTTTCGATTCACATTACAGATTTGCAAGGACATCCTCCTTATACGTAGTCCGAATTTCGAGAACTAAAAACTCATCCCATCATTGAACCCAGCGTCGTAGGCGGCATCAGACTCCAAGTCACCGAGCATCATCCCGCCAACCACGCCACCGAGGAGCCCGAGGCCTAGGCCCATTCCCATCCCTCCCGCATGCCTTGCCGGTGCAGCCATAGTCGTTGCTGGCGCATACCCATACATTGTTGCCGGTGCTGGAGCAGTATTATACATGTACGGTGGTGGATACACTGCGTTTGGTGCACCGTAAGGTACACCCGGTGGGTATGAAAATGTGGCATGCGGTGGTGGGTATGCGGTGACGGGCACCATGGGTTTGGGCATTGCCACCTCAGAGCCCCCAGAGTACTTGACATACTGCCCTTGTTTGTTATCTGTAGCGCTTGCGGAAGCAGCTTTGATGCCGGTGAACTTGTAGCTCAAGTAGAGAACGCCGTGGGCACGGCCAGACGAGGGTCGCCGCACTTGGTAGCTCATGGTCTTTGGGTCATTAGTGTTATTTGTGCCTGCCAAAAGATCATTAAGGGGCACAAATACTTCACCAACGTCATGGTGGCCGAAGAGGAGCGCCTCCGAGCGTAGCAACACATGGAGGGCGAGCCCGCGAGTATCAACACATGCAGGGATCGGCAAATGGAGCATGGCATTCCATGTGGGATTTTGGCCATTGTTGTGGTCGACTTGGGTGCCGTGGGTAGGCATCCAGGAGTTGGCCCCGGAGATGGAGGCAACGGCATAGACGCGCATGCGAGAGAAGAATGACACCTTCTTAAGATCGCTCGCCGAGATCAACGTCAGCTCAAGGGTCTGGTATGACATGGCCGACGTCGCCGGGAATCGAGATGGTTGAGGGATGTAGGGCTAGGAGGAGGAGGAGGAGGGACTTTTTCTGAAAGTGGCCCCTCAACTTGGAACATTGGCGTGATGTGACTACTTAAAAGGGGAGTGGCTATGTGTGGATTTGTCATTGAAATCGAAACTAAGAATAGATTAGATAATTGGTGGCTTGAGACTCTTTTAGAAGTGTCTTTTTGTGTGGCCTAGCGTTGGTCTCGCACCTCAGGCCCTTCCCGTGCTCCACTTTGTACAGATGCTAAGGCTACCATGTAGACAAAAAAGTTGATGTGGTAAGGTAATTAAGAGGAGTGAGATGAATGTGATGACCCCAGAAAGAAATAATGCCTAAGCACATGAACCTAGGCAAAACAATTAAATGAAAGAAACTCACCAATGCATGAGTGAATTTAGTTGCTAAATCATTAAATGAAGGAGTTTAGCTACAACAAGTTAAGCACCTATGCATTGGGGGCTTTAGTTGCTCAAGTTTTTAATGTGCTTAGCACCTCATCTGAGCACCCGTGCAT